GCCCATTGTGGCGCTGTGTATGTTAGCACGGAGCAGGACCACCACGCTGTCTGGTGGGGGGGCGCGGCGTGGCGATGAGACGTGCGCGGTGGAATACTTAACAGCTCCTAAAATGGTAGCTCCGAAGATGGGGTGGGCATATGCTGCAGTATTGTGTGGGAAAAGGCAAGTTACAGAACTATATGGACCTTCAAAAAGTGAGGTGTTAAAAAATAACACAGACGGTCTACCAAAGTGCTCGTGAGCGGTCTTGATAACGATTCTGAGAGATTTCGTCCTATTCATCATCTCCCAAATTACCTTGAACGTTTGTGCGTTGCCTCTTAGTCAGGTTTGAGTTGTAATTTACATTCGGTGAACTCCACTGTTTGCGCGTGTGCATCTGTTTACTTTGACGAGTGTGTGCGGTCAGTGAACCCCACCACCATTGAGACAGACTGTTTCCATTGCCCCAGAGGTGCCCCCACCCCCCTCCTCCGTGCCCCCCTACTGGCCACCGCTGGTCTGAGCCATCGCTGTAGTTCTTGCGTATTCCAGAATGTCATACAAATGGAGCCGCACGGTATGATAACTCGTAATCTGCTTGATGTTCTCTTAAGAACACCTCTTAGAGCAGGTTTTCTTCACGCCCCTCAAGCAGAGAATTTAATTTTTCCTTTCTATCTAACTCAGCCTTTACCCCATGCAGGAATCTCCTCCGCCATAGCCCTGATCATCGTGTTCAGATTACCAGGGAATTATCAGTCCTCTGTAAAATTGTCCCGGCAGCGTGAAAGTACCTGGGATGAAGGAGGTCCTCAGTCCGCGCAGCCTCACACCAGCATCCAGAGAAGGGTGGGGGCTTCCAGTCCCGGCCTGCCCATTCCCCTCGCAGACCTCAGGCTCCTGTCCAGGGTCTGTCCACAGTGCTGACAATAGTGTCAGCAGTAGCGGCAGCAGCAGCGGTGCGCTTTTCTTAGTGAGCCTTTTATGTCAGGACAGTTTGAGATGCAAAGGAAAGCTGCAGGGACATACAGAGAGTTCCCATATACCCCACACCCCTTCCCCCAGTTGTGTTTTCGTCTGCCGGGGGCGGGATTGACCTTACTGTGGGACATGCAGAGTTTCAGTTCCCTGACCAGGGATCGAACCTACGCCCCCTGCATTGGAAGTGCAGAGTCTCAACCACTGGGCCACCAGGAAAATTCTCCACCACCCCCCCCCCCCCCCCGCCCCACCAATTGTTAACATCTTACAAAAGCATGAGACATTTGTCACAGCTAATGAACTCATATTGATGTGCTGTTATTGAAGTTCACACTTTGGTTTCCTTAGGTTTCCCCTAATGTTGTCTTTCTGCCCCAGCATCTCATATGGGCCCCCAGTCCATTTAGTCATCATATCTGCATAGACGTGGCGGGGACAGATGCTCAGACTTACCTTGTGTTTGGTGAGCACCGCTCAGGTGTTTGGAGGACTGTCACTTGGTTGGGGTTTGTCTGGTGTTTTTTCTCACGATTAGACTAGAATTATGGCTTTAGGGGAGGAAGATCCTGGAGATAAAAAAGTTTAGTGTTTCTCACAATAGTTTATTTTTATTGAGTTTTTCATTGTGTTCCAGATGCTGTGCTGAGCCGTTAACAGATTGGATCCCCTTTAAATTCTATTTTACCTAATAAATTCTCATTTTACCATTGGCAGAAATGGTATCAAGAGAGGTGCAGTAACTTACACAAAGACCCACAAGTAAGTGGCTCAAACACAGAACTCACTAATTCTCCAAGTTTTGCTTTTTGCCAGTACTACTTCAAACAGCAATACATCTGCTTTTTTTAAAAAAAAACAGTATGTGTTTATTTATATCCAGTGTTTCCCGAAAATGCTTGTGCTGAAACTTCTAATCAAGGCCACCTTGAGACAGCTGCAGCCGGGTCATGACAAAAGCAGGCACAGGTGGTCATCATACTAAGTCCCACCTGTCGTGGTCATCTGAAGCGTGTTCCCATGGGCTTGGTGTGGGGGTGGGCGCCGGGCAGCGCAGGGCCTCTCCACGTCTCAGTCTCCAGGAAGCCGTGATGGGAAATAGAAGCGTCCAGGCTGTCTGCTCACGTGCCCAAGGTGCAATTCCAAACTGGCCGTTCGCTTGATAATCAGACCTGCCTCGTGTGCTCACACCCAGCTGCTGTGGGATTTTCTAATGGGTTTCTGTATCCGTCGCTGGGTGTGGCCCGGTGATTTTCTAGATGCCAAAGTGACTGCGTCCTAGCCCGCATTCTCTGGCTTCTCTGTGCATCAAGGGGACCGTGGGCTGGGGTTTAGGAACCAGCCAGACCAGGAAAAGGCAGAGATGTGAATGTGGGCTGTCAAGGAAAGAAAGACCTTCAGCACATCCAGGCATCCAGGCGCCATTGCTTTCTAAAGGAGAGTTCTTTAATTTATTTTTAATTTTAATTTAATTTGTAAAACTAGTAACCACAGCCTCTTCCCAAGCATGTTATGTGTGAATGGGCATTTTTTTACTTAGGAAAGTCTTCCTACATTTGTTAAGGAGGTATACCCATCACCTCCTAAACATCAGGCACGTGAAACAGAGCAGGTGAAAGTTCCCACTCGCATTGTGCTGAAAACGCCAGCACAGAGACAGTCAGCTGGAAGCACAAGCCTGTTCACACGAATCCCCGAGGCCCCTGGTGCCGCTGGGCTTCTCAGGACAGGACGTGCGGTCGGGGCTGAGTCATTTATGCAGAATATTGAGAACGTGACGGCGCAGGGCTGTGGAGAAGGGCAGAGGGGCCACGGGGAGCCCACGTGTTTGCCTTTGGGATGCATTGGCAAACCGTCTTGGCTGGACACGGAGGCTGCCTGGGTTGGTGCCAAGGGGTGGGCCATGGGCCGGAGAGAAGGGCCGGGTGAACTTGGCTCCCCACCCCCGCCGCGGTCTCAGCGGCCTCTTGGCTCATCTGGCCCCGAGGAGGCGGCTCCAGGCTGTTCCTGTTTCCGCCCGCTCAGTCCATGCAGCAGAGTTCAGGGACGCTGGGAGAGCACCCCGCAGCCCTGCCCCTCCCGCCCGTGGGCACCCATTCCCGGAACCCCACCGGGCCTTCCCGTGCCTCCAGAAGCAGCCTGCCCGCCTCTCCACAGCCTTTCTCGCCTGCCCTGCCTCACTCCTCCCCGCGCGAGCGCCCCCGGCCCTCTGCACTGGCCGTGGCCGGGCCGAGATGCGCTTTCCCTCCCTCGCTCCTCTGTGCCCGGCTCTCCCGCTCCCGGTCCTGGCTTCCGGCGCAGCACTCGCCACTCTCCCATCGCTGGGTGTTTGTGTCTGTCTGTCTGTTGTCTCTCTGCCCCGCCGGGCTTCTGTCTTGTTCACTGCTAGATTCCACAACAGCCAGCCCGCAGGGCCGGGAAGGTAACAGGTGCTCAGTTAAGCGTCTGTTAGGTGACTGACAGAGTGAGTGAATGAATGAATTGATCCATCAGTCCCTCTGACTGCCTGAGCGTGGGAGCTGATCATATCAGGGAAATTTGAGGCAGCTTAAGCCTTCAACCCTTTTCTGCTCCTAAACCACCATCACCACCATATCTCAGCTTTGGCAGATAGGAATTGAAAATAAACAACTTGGTGGGCAGAAACCAACACAACACTATAAAGCAATTATACTTCAATTAAAAAATTTAATTAAAGAAAAAGCCTCATGGAAGTCCCCAGTCCTTCGGGTGAAATTCTCTTGCTGGGCCCCAGATTTTACATTGCGTGTGTCAGAGCTTACTGATCAGGTTGGAGATCCCTGAGCCAGCAGCCAGGCGGCCTTGGGCCAGTCAGGTCCTGAGTTGCGGCATCCTCATCTGTGCAGCGGGGACAGCCCGGCACCTGCTCTGGGCACGGTCATAAGAGTCAAAGGTGCTAGCTCCTGCCGCATGCTCGAGGAGGCTCGGCCTGTGTCAGACTGTGGGGGGTGTTAGCTGTCCCCCTTCCCAGCTGGGCCACGCTCTCCTCTGACACTGCTGAAGTCTGGCTTCCCGGGGCCCGAGTGCCAAGGATGCGGCCTCTGGGTGCCTGGCACCTCCTCTCCGTGACAGAGGAGCTCACTCAGCCATGAGCGACGGTGAATTTCGCTCGCCCCACCCTCCCCCCGGCACTGAGCCGTGATAACCCTCACCAGTCTCCCCCTTTTAACACAAGTCACTGGGTCCTTGCTGTGCGCCGGACCCTGGAGGCAGAGAGGGGACCCAGATAGACGTGGCATGACCTCACGGAGCCACGGCCTGGGGGAGGCAGACGGCAAACAGACGGCCCACATGGGTCACAGGGGTTGATACGGATGTAGTGAGCGTGCGGGACCCGGGGAGGGGGGCGGCCAGGTGGCTTTCGGGATCTGGAGAGGGCAAGAGGAGATGCCGGGGTGGAGGGGGTGACCCCCGCCTTTTGGGGACACGGGGCAGGCCAAGTGCCGTCCACAGACCAGTGTTGGGGTGCAGAGAGAGGTGGGGTGGGGCCGGAGCGGGCACGAGGTCAGACGCGGGGGGCCCGGGGGTGGAGTTCGTGGTCGGGTCACCCGGAGCCCCTGACAGATGCAAGCAGGGGCATGGAGGGATCGAGTTTGCCAACTCAGAACGCGGCCCTGAGTGCCAAGCGGGAACATGTGTCTGCAGGGGGAGACAGGAGGGGAGTCCGGAGGGCAGGGGGCTGTGACCGCTTCCTGGGCAGGGGAGGGTGGTGGCTGGGACACGGTGAGGGGTGGAGCGGTCGCGGCTCCGGCCACGCTGGGCCCTGCAGACACTGGGAGGAGCAGTGCCCAGGCCTCGCACACCTCCCAACACACGTGGGTGGGTGTCCGCCACGGCCCCTCCCCTCCAGCTGAACGCCGCCGGCCAGGAAAGATGAGCTCCTTCGGTCTCCAAAGTTGCCAGGCGTCTGTACCAGCTCAGCGTGCTCATTGCTAAAGCAAGAATGTTTTCCAAGGCAGTTATTGTGCCTGATCTCATAACCAATGTATGTCTTTTCTGGTTTTTTTTTGCTGCAGCCAACTGGGTACATGGAAAACTCCGTCTCCTACAGCGCCATTGAAGACGTTCAGCTGCTGTCCTGGGAGAACGCCCCGAAGTACTGTTTACAGCTCACAATTCCTGGGGGAACTGTCCTGCTGCAGGTAGGACGCGTAAACATGAACGTGCACTTTTGGCTCTGTCCCTGCTCGGCACCCTCCTCCTCCCCTCGGAGACGGCAGCTGTCCAGAGCAAAGACTGACTTGCAGTGGTTTTTTTTCCTGCGAGTACAGGAAAGGTGTGAATTGGGGCTCACCGAGGGAGCAGAAGAGGGAGTGTGCACAGACTGGGCTCCCGCCAAGGAGCCTCCCACGTTGTGTTTTGGTTTCTCCGGTTTCCTGGTCTCCCATTTTACAGATGAGGAAACCGAGGCACAGAGACACAGCCTTTATAAGGCTGTGAACACCAAGCAAGCGACAGATGTGCTACCTTCTGTTGTACCACGAGTGAGGAGGTGTCTCACTTTTCATTAATCTTTCTCTGTTGAGGCCCTGATGGAAGTAGGAGCCCTCTCCTTGGGAAACAATGCACGTTTTGTGTGTATTGGTCAGGGGCTGTTGGTTGGAAATGATGCAGATGTTGTTCAAATGATCTGAAGCAGGAAGAGAATTTGATGCTGTACCTGGGCAGTCCGAGAGTGGACTTCAGGCACAGCTGGGCCCAGGAGTCAGATGCACTCGTGAATGTCTGATCTCTGTCTCCTGGCTTTGCTTCTATGTGCTGGCTTCGCTGTCAGGCAGAGGCTCCCCATGTGATGGGAAAGACGGACATCTGGCAGCCTCGGGCTGCATTCTTGGAGTCTGTAATCCTTAAAAAATGTGAGAGCCCACTTTCCTTTCAGTATTTTCCTATCAAGTCCCCTGGAGGATTCTGATTGGCTGGCTGTAATCTGATTCACCCCCCGGGGGGAAACCTACCCTGTGTTGCACGCCCACCTTTAGCACAGGCAGCCGTATACTCTGACAGCCCTGCCAGGACCTTGTGGGTGGGGAGAGGCGGGTCCGCAAAGGAAGGAACTGAGGCAAAGCTAATGACACGGCTGCTGCAGTCCATACACGTGGCATGCTCTCTCATTTCAGGGGGTCCCTGCCCCCGTGACTCAAGGGGGGTTTTCTCAGCCCCCTCCTGTCGGCTTTCAATGGCCTGCCACTGTCGCTTTCCCTTGGGTTTCCAACAGGGACTCAAGTCAGGACTGCTCATCCAGAGGGAATGGACTCATCTCCTGGAGGACGGTCTCCCTTTGCCTCTCTTTCAGGAACGTTTCCTTTCTAATTCTGTCTCTCCTGGGAGACTGCCCTGAGCCCAGAGAGATGCTCCCTAAAACTTGTTTCAAGAGTGGCCACCAGGTTATTCAACGATGCTGGAGCCGAGAGGCACATAGTTTGGCCTCTGAGGAATGTCGAGCGCCGGAAGCTGAGCATAACAGCTCAGGATCCTGCAGGAAGACTCCAGCCGTTGTGACCGTCATCCCTCAGAGGACACTGCCGTCTGCCTTCTTCCTAAATCTCTCACACCCTGCAGGTTTTCTCATAGCTGCCCTCCCCTTTTTCCTCCTAACTTCCAGCCGGCAGCGCTTTCCTTTCTATCCTTCTGCCCTTCTGTGATGGTTGCACCTTCTGTGAAGGGAGTGGTCAGCTCTGGCCCCTTGGCGCTGGCGGGGAGCAGTGATGGGAGACTGGGGGCGAGGAGGGCAATACTTGGGGTCCATAGAAAGCGGAGAGGGAGGGGCTGAGAAGATCCCCTTGGAATCACAGAGCCGCGAGCCTGCTATGCCCTGTGCGGGTCGGGGCGGGGGGGAGGTGAGTCAGGCCCCTGGGGAGACAGAGCCACAAACAAACCCCCCAGAGGTAGCAGCTGAAACAGAGGCCTGTCCCCGAGGGCTGGGGGACTCGCTGTCACCCTGGAGGTCCCAGGGAAGGCTCCCCATGGGTGGTGATGCTAGAGCTGGGTGTGGAGGGGTGAGTAGGAATGTGCCAGGATGGGATGCCCACGGTGGGCAGAGGGAGGACAGGGTGTGAAGCCTGAGAGTGTGGGTGTGGGGGTCCCTGCCGCGGACAGGAGGGGGCGGTGGTGCAGGCCCTAAATATGAGCCCAGAATTGTCGGGTTGCAGGCAGCCAGGCCCCACAGGTCATGTCAATCGAGCGAGGGAGCCATAGTGCTGTTCTGAGGGCCTCAGGCTGCCACCGAGAGCTCCCGAGAGGTGGGGGGCAGTCGAGGGACTGGTCTGCTGGCCGAGCATACGGGGCATTCGTGAGACCCCCCAGGCGGGCGGGCCCGAGGGGAGCCTTGTAATTGCCCTGTCCCTGGCAGGGGCATCTCCCAGTGCTCTGGGGCTAGAGCGGGCAGTGTCCTCCAAGGAGGGACCCGCAGACAGGGGCAGGGCGCTTGGAGGATGTGGGGTGCCGGGTGTTGCCCGAGTGTCCCTTTGATCCCGCGGGGGCCTCCCATTTGCGCTCCCCGGGCCTGGCTGACTGCGGGCAGGTGGCTGAGGCGGCAGCCAGATGGGTGCAGCCCCGCCGTCCCCAGGGTCCCTCCCAGCTTGCTTCCCCCGTTGTCCCCTCCTCCTCGCCCTCCTGTGGTTCACGGGCAGCGAGCGGCCGCCTGGCTGTATAAGCAGTCTCGAGGCGCCATGGGGCTGGGCTGCAGTCTGCAGGCCCGCGTGGTGATGGGGCGGCCCCCGAGGTGGCAGGCCGGGTGCCCGGCACCAGCTCTCCTACTAGTCGGCAGGATCCCCTGCCGGGGGGCTTGTCCAGAGTCACAGGACGGGCCCAGAGCAGGAGTGTGACGGCAGTCCCCGCGTCCTGGCGGGAGTGGGTGGTGGGGGCCGAGCACGGCAGCAAGGGGAGCCGGGGGTCAAGGCCAAGCTGCACCCGGGAGCCACCCCAAGCCACTCTGCCCCCATAGTGGCCGCCAGACGCACAGGGTCATCTGCGCTTAAGTCCAAGGTAATGACTCAAGAGGGCAGCTCCTGTGTCCTCCGGCCTCACTCTGGGTGCTCAGGACGTCCGGTGCCAGTGACTCAGTCCTGCAAACGGCTCTCATCTGCACACGGGGCTGAGACCCCAGGACTTCTCATCCCGACCCCTGCTGCCCCCGTAGGAACAGCCTCAGTGCCGGTGGCCTGCAGGCCCCCAGCGCCCCTGCCTTCCCGCGTAGCAGTCCATCCTGCGGCGGGGTGGTGTCTGGGGGTCCCTTGATGCACCTCACTCTCTGCTTCCCCCCCTGGGGTCTTTCTCCAGGACTGCCTCTCCCCCTGGCCCCTTCTCTCTGCGTCCTGACCTAAGTCTCTCTTCTGCTCTCTGTTTTTTTCCCTCTCCGTTCCCTACCCCTCATCCTTACGTAGCTGCTTTGTGAGAATTTGAGCCAGTGCCTCACTCGGACCCCCTGGGAACTGACCTGAGTTCAGGGAAGGTTTAGGAATGCTCTCAGGGGACTTCCCTGGTGGTCCAGTGGCTAAGACTCCAGGCCCCCTAGGCAGGGGGACCGGCTTCCATCCCTCGTCTGAGAACTGGATCCTACCTGCCATGGACTGAAGACCCCGCATGCCGAAACTAAAAAAAAACAAAAAGAGATCCTGCCTGCTGTAACTAAGGCCTGGCGCAGCCAAATAAATGAATATTAAAAAGCAAAGGACAAGTGCTCTCAGGGAGATGGTCCTCCTGCCCTGCTCAGAGACACCGCGCAACATGCCTGCAAGTCCAGTCGGCAGACAAAGGCGCCAGCCCTCCAGCCTGGGTCCGACCGGCGTATTTGTGGTTGTTTTGTGTGTTTCAGCGTGAGCTCCCTAATGGCATGTTATTAGAGTCCCCGGGTGCAGAAAGGACCTATTTATCTTCTTTCTTCTCCTAATGCTCTGTCTGCTGGCATTTCATCATGAGGGGTAACTCCACAAGCCCATGAACAGTGCCGGGCAGGGGTGCGGGGGGTGCTCCTTGCCGGCCCGTGGAGTCGCAGAGCAGAGATGAAGACCTGGATCATCTCCCAGGGATCTCTGCCTCCTCAGTGGCTGTCCAGTCACTGATGAGAAAGCGGACAGAGCCCACTGCTCAGACAACAAGGTTTCAGGCGAGACCAGGAGCAAGGGGACCCCCCCGCCCCTGCCAGCTCCACTTTCTCGAGAGTGCTGCTGCTTTCTGGAACAGTTTCTGAGACCGGCTCATCTCAGTGATGTTCTCGAAAGCCCCTGGGGAGGCCAGGCCACTGTTTACCCCAAATGCTGGCAGCTGAGGCAGGACAGGGCGGGTGCCCTCCTTACTGGAAGCTGGAGAGAGAGACCTTTTCCGGCGGCACAGCACGTGCTGTTTTTTCCCCTAAGAAGTGGGGCGGGGAGGGCGAACCTGGGAACGGTCACCCACCGTGCACCCTTGGCTGTTTTTCTCACCTCTCCAGACAATACAACAATGAGAGGGAACTTGGCAACTTTCAAAGAGGAAATTAGGCAGAATTTGCCTGGAACGAGGCCCTTGCAGGATTCGAAAGATTTATCGCCAGGAGAGGCTGGCGCCCGCCAGAGCCTGCTTCCACGGCCTCTTTCCCAGGCTGGGCCCCGCTCCACTCAGGACGCAGAGATGCGCTCTGGGTCCCCCATGGTGGGGCTGGGAGCCGTCGTCCGGGCTGGGGGCCGTCGTCCGGGCTGGGGGCCGTCGTCCAGGCTTGGCCCTCCCCACGGCAGCGTGGGGACTCTGTCCACTCTGAGCGTGCTGCCTTCCCCCGGACGGCGCCTTGAGATGCCCGCCCCGGGATTCCGGACGTCTCCGCACGGCCTCTGTCCTCCAAAACTCGACCAGCTGGAGGAAGGAGCGGGGGGGCCCGCTCTTGCCGTGGCCTCCCTGTCTCCAGCATCGAGATGGGGGTCGCAACTGCGAGGGTGTCACAGAAGTTGCCTCCTCTTTCCTGGAGCAAACTTCTGGCCCACCCTTTTGTTTGCAGGGTGGGGGCCTCGCCCTGACCGGAGCCTCTCCCTTCATCAGCGTGGCGCCTGCAGGTTCCCCAACCAGGTTCCCAGGGGCCCAGCAGTACAGAGAGCAGGTGGTGGGGTCACACCTGCTGCCAAAAGGCAGAGTACGTTGACTGTGGTGGTTAACACAGCACAGGTTTGAGAATTGCCTGCTGAAGCGGGGGTTAAGACTTGGCTTTCCCTGCTCTGGGCCCGGGTTTGATCCCTGGTCAGGGAACTGAGATTCTGCAAAAAAAAAAGAGGCCAGCACAGATTTGTATCTTGACCATTCTGGGGATCTGAATTCAACATGTGTCCCACTGGGCTAAACTCCCAAGTGTGGGTTCATCTGAAGCCCTAGGGAGGAATCCATCTCTAGCTTCTCAAGGCCGCCTGCATCCCTGGGCTCATGGCCACGTCATTCCAAGCTCTGTTTACATCTCTGACTCTCTGACCTCCTGTTTGCCTCTTATATAGACTCTCATAACTCACCCAGAGGGGCCAGAGTAATCTCCCCACGTCAGGGTCCTTGACTTGATCCACGAAGTCCCTTTGCAACAAGGTACCACATTCCAACCAGTCCATCCTAAAGGAGATCAGGCCTGGGTGTTCATTGGAAGGACTGATGTTGAAGCTGAAGCTGAAATACTTTGGCCACCTGTTGCAAAGAACTGACTCATTGGAAAAGACCCTGATGCTGGGAAGATTGAGGACAGGAGGAGAAGGGGACGACAGAGGATGAGATGGTTGGATGGCATCACCGACTCAAAGGATATGAGTTTGAGTAAACCCCGGGAGTTGGTGATGGAAAGTGAAACTTGGCGTGCTGCAGGCCATGGGGTCGCAAAGAGTTAGACATGACTGAGCGTCTGAACTGAACACATTCCTGGGGGTTAGGACGTGGACAGTCTCTGGAAGTCCCTCGTTCGACACGCCACACCTCCCCTGTCCCTGATCACCTCGGTGTGTTGAAAAGCAGAGAAATGGTTGTGGGTCTGAATCATGTTGGAGTGGCTCATTCCCGCCTGTCCCAGCTCCCGAGAGCCACCAGGATCCTGCCTTAGCACTGGTTCAGGGACGTGCCCTGGGAGCCTGGAATCGGCCAAGGGGCGTCCGTGTGGACGTCTGTGCCCACCGTGATTGGGGCTGTTCGTCCAGGGGCGCCTGCTGTTAGACGTTTATCAGCACAGCACTGGCCGTGGCTGCCCCGCCCTGATCCCTGCTGTTGGCACACGCGGGGCGCCGTGCTCAGTGGGCGTCTTCCACAGACGCTCTCATCATTGGGGTCTTGCCCCGCTCTTGCTGAATGTGGGCTGCTTTTGGTCACCCTGAAGTCCACAGTCTGTCCTGAGACCACAGCTTGGTCAGCACCAGCAGGTGACCCCCACGGGCCCTCTGCGGGGGCTGCTGGGTCTGCCCCGCACCGGTCAGGTGTCGCAGGCTTTGGGTCCTCAGGGGGCCTGAACCCGGGGCTCCTGGAGACTCAGCTACTGCAGAGGTACTGCGTCCCACGCATGTGCCCTCCAGCCTACTCCCCCGACTCAGAGCAGAAGCACACACTCATGTTGCCTCAAGGTGCTGGTGTGGAGCTACTTGGGGTGTCAAATGCATCTCCGAGCTTGCCCGCAGAAGCCCGATTCCCAGCTCCACGGGCCACTGAACTGGTTCATTTTCTGCAGCTCAGAGACTTCCCCAAACTCTGGCCTGGGCGAGCAGCTGGGGTTTCATCTGTGGTTTGCCAGGGATCAGGAGAGTCAACTGTAAGAGCTGAATCCTCTAGAATGAGGGTGACCCCAGGATGCACATGGTGGGTGCAATTGTGTGTGTGTCTGTGTCTGTGTCTGTGTGTGTGTGTATCTGTGTGTGTGTCTGTGTTTGTGTGTGGCCCAGAAAGAGAAGGCAGGCATTCCTGCCTGGAGAGAGGCTCTGGTCTTTGTCAGAGTCCCTTGCCCATCAGGGTTGTGGCCACTCAGAACAGCGGGCTGGGGCTCAGGCAGGGGACGGGCGCTACATTTCTGCCTTGGGGGTGGCCAGCGGCAGACGTGAGATGCCGTCACACTGCGGTTTCATCATGAGTCAGACCGCTGGGTCCAGGCGCTGGCCCCCCTCCCCTGCTGCCTGTGAGCCCCTGGGGGATGAGTTCAATCTCTTGAGCCTCAGTTTCCTCGTCTGCACCGCGGCTGGCAGTGCCCACTCCCCAGGGTTGACCTAAGGAGAGGATGAGCTCGTCCAGGCGTAGGGCCTAGCGTCCAGCGCCCGGCAGACCCACCGTGAATACTGCACTTGTCATCAGCAGACGTGCTGGAATTGGGAGTGAGAACCGTCTGACACCGAGTGGCCCGGAGGCTCGGAGCTGGTGTGGTGTCGGTCTTGGAAGGCCGAGCTCCCCGAACTAGTAGATGTTACACATCTGCCTGAGGCCAAGGCCGCCTGGTCTCTACCGTGGCTGTCTGCAGTTGGCAGGGGGTGCGGTGGTTAAACCCACAGACTTGGAAGCCAGGCTGCGGGTTTAAATGCGGTCAGTTGACGTGAGTGTTCAGGGTCTCAGTTTTTCCCTTGGTGAAACAGAGCATTGCCCACCTCGGAGGACAGATTACATGGATGGCAAATGCTTGGCGCCTGGAGCACCCAGGCAGCTCATCCCCATCACCCCCTCGCCCCGTGCCTCTTCCCCACTCATCCTGGGCCCTTCTCTGATCCTGAAGATGCTGAGATTCGTGTGCAGTTGAAGCTCTTGCAGCCACCAGCGTCTGCCCAGCAGAATAAGCGCTAGGCAAGAGCAGTGTCTTATTTCAGATGAGTCCACCAGGTGACCGCTTCCGGTTTGGTTTTACACACGAGGGGTTCAGCCTGGTGCGGGACCTCATGCTGGCCCGTAAAATGCTCTGAGATGCTGCAGGCTGGTGACTGACCCACGTTGTCCTGTTCTCGTTGCAGGCCGCCAACAGCTACCTGCGAGACCAGTGGTTCCATTCTCTGCAGTGGAAGGTAAGTCCTGGCTCGTTGCTTGTTTGAGGTGCCACTTGGTCACCCAGAGGCTGGAGAGCAGGGGTCTCTCACCTCCTGGGCGCTTTGCCCCATTGTCTGAAAGCCCCTACCTCCCTCTTGGATGGTTGATACTTTGCCCCCTTGCGATGCCAAAGCTGCGTCCCTGCCCAGTTGGCCCCTGACTTTGCCTGGGAACCCTGCGGCGTGCCGGCTTCTGGAAGGATCGTAGACCCGCTTGCTCTCAGAACAGGAGCTCACCTGAGCGGCTTCGGGGGGCAGGACTTGAGGGAGTCCAGGTGATAAGTTGAAAGTGACTTTCGAAGTTGGCAGCAGAGGAAAATTTATCAGAGATGCAGAAGTCCAGCTGTATTTCCGCAGGCTTCCCTTCCTTTCTGCTCTGTGGTTCTTTGGCCTGATTTTCGGGCTCTAGCTCCGTGTGGGATGGTCCCCAGCTCCCTAGCACAAATGCTGAATTAGTCCCTGACTGGTCGTGTTCAAGACCCAGGGGCCAGATCTGTGCGAAGTGTCCCCGCTGCCCTGGAGAGTCCACATTCTGCTCTGGCTCAGGACCACACCCTGCCTCCTGTCCCTCACCTCCTGACCTTTTAGTTCAGAACAAGCACTGGAGGCCTTGCAGAGCCAGCAGGGCGTGGCTAGGATGACCGGTGTGCATCCCAGCCGGCACCTTTGCAGTAAGCTGTAGTGCGGTGGGGCTGGGCGGCTGGCCCTGGGCGGGGTATGAGGCCGTGTGTCGTGTGGGGAGGACCAGGGGACACTCAGCATTCTTCTCACGCCTTTGGAGGGGCTCCCGTCTCAGCTGGGCAGAGGACAGAAGCTCAGCCCTGGAAACTGACATTCCAGGTCCCCAGACGGCCACCCCTCCTCCCCGGCCGACAGCAGCAGGCCTCTCGCTTGTGCCTGGGTGGCCGTCTCCGAGGCTGAGACTGAGTCTCCAAGCTGGGGCTGCACAAGGAAGGGACTGGCGTTTACCGGGCTCCTGCCTCATCGTGACTCTTTGACCCTTGTCAGGCTGCTCGTTATCATTGCTCCCATTTTCTCCGTGGGGAAGCCAAGGCCAGACCCGAGCCCAGCTCCTGCAGCCGGTAAGGGCCCGGGGCCAGGTTCAGACCCAGGCCTCGCCCATTCTGGGGCTTCCTGAATGTGGGCGGAAGGCCCTGGGAGGCACGCGTCTGTGGCCCCGGCAGGTGCTGCTCAGACCTTGATTTCTGCAGGGACATCCTCTCTGAGGCCTGATCTCTGCAGCCAGGTGTCCCGGGACAGGCAGGGAGGGTCTGCCTCAGGACCTGCCAGCGGGCCTGGGAGGTGAAGGCCAGACCAGCCGCCAGAGAGGAGTACGGGCGGCGTGATGTGGTCCCTGCGAGAAGGGGCCGCCCCACGGCCGGGGACGGCGGCGGCTATCTGCCCAGAGCTTTCCTCTCCTGCTCCTCCTCGCGCGCGTGTCTCCCTCGTGAGTCCTCAGTGAGTGAGCACCTTGCTTTCTCTCGGCGCAGGATGGAGACTCACTACCCACCTGACAGGCTGGGGAGACGTCTCTGAACAGGTGGCAAGGCCAGTGTCAGGGAGGTGGTGGTCTTGAGTGGACTCCACTCTGCTTGCCGCCTTGCCCTGGTCCACACTGTCTCCAGCCGCTTTCTGGAATCTCTGGGAACTCCTGAAAGGCAGGACTGGTGACATGTGTGAATACTACGCAGCTACAAGCGATGACTAAGATGGTAGGCATGGAAAGTGGAGCTTCGGGAGACTGTGACAGCCAGAAGGGTGATTTAAAGCTGACAAGAAATGTACGAATTCAGGCACAAGGATTGCATGTGGGGTTCAGACAGTTGATTGAGCAAGTACCGAAATGGGGAACCCTGAGCTTCTAGCACTTCTCATCAAAACCTGGATGTCTCCTCAATTTCGGCAGTGGTTGGTTTGTTGATGGTTGTTAAATCACTTACATTTTATTTATTATTTTTCCATAGCATCATTTTATTTATTTGTTTGCTGGGTCCTTGCTGGTTATCCCTCTTAAATATAGCAGTATGTAGATGTCCATGCCAAAAAAACAAAAGCAAGCACACTCAGGTCAGAGCGTCACGGAATCAGCAAGTGCCCAGCAGTGAGCGGCCCTTTTGCCAGGTGATGGATGGTGGCCTGTGTTCTCACCGTTGAAGCACTTTTTGTCGTAGGCTTAGGAGCGTGTAGGGCTTCCCTGGTGGCTCAGATGGTAAAGAATCTGCCTGCAGTGCAGGAGACCTGGGTTTGATCCCGGGTTGGGAAGATCCCCTGGAGGAGGGCATGGCAACCCACTCCAGTACTCTTGCCTGGAGAGTCCCATGGACAGAGGAGCCTGGTGGGCTTCAGTCCAGGGGGTCGCACAGAGTTGGACACGACTAAGCACAGCACAGATGAAATGCTCGTAATTTTTCCCTTTTGACACCCCCGCCCCCCCAATAATTCAGGTATGCTGCCACCAGGTGGCAGTGATCTCTCAGCATCAGCAGCCTGGTTTCATTCCTGTGACTCTTTGCCACTCAGTTTTGATGAGATGGAAGGGAGGCACTCTCCCCTTCCTTATAAAACGGCAAGGAGACAAAAGGTGTTTTTGAGGTACTGCTGGCTGGTGAAATGAGCCAGGAGACCCGGGGTTTGAATCCCGGCTCTGTAGCCGATCCATCTCACGGTTTGCACAGCTTCCAGCCGGAGTTCATTCAGTCAGACGCAGTTGCTAAGTACCTGCCAGTACATGGTGTGTCTGCACTTTGCTGTTCCTTATTCAGTACATGTCAGTGCTCAGAGGTCCAGTGACTTGCGCATAGTCACACGCAGATTTCAGTATGGATCCAGGGGCTGCCCCGCATCCTGCCCGATCCACCCACACCCGATCCCAAGCTTCAGCTTCTCGGCCCAACTCGGGATGTGTCCTGGTTCTCCTGCCTGATACCGCCACTCTCTCCTCCGTATTTACCACTGACTGTTTGGGATTTTCTTTTCTTTCATTTGCTTTTCTCTACCTTTAACTTAAAATCAATAGAACATCAAAATTAAGGACATTCGAAATCCCACAACCTCGGCTTGAGTTTTTAAATTCTCTAAATGTTGTATTTATCATTTTTCCCCTACACACAATGCATGTGCGTGTTGTGGCTGCAGGACAACATAGGGAAAACTTTCTGCTTGTGAAGAATGCTACCTCTTACCTGCTGTGTTCCCGTAGCTTTATGGAATCTTTACCCAGTAGTACTGGGACCCGCCAGGGCGTTCTCCACAGGTGTGGTACTGCCTCCAAGGGGGCCAGAATCGGTGTTTGGGGCTTAAAAATACCTAGTTATTCCAGTGGTGTGTAGAGAATGTAGTTCAGTCTACTCAACAGAATCTTGTTTTCTAGAATTTAACCTCAGTGGGATCAGGGCAGATTGGGATGGAGGTGTCTTAATAGGCTCCTTAGGGGAACCATAATGAAAAAAAATAGCGCTTGAGAACCATGGCTCTAGAATCGACCTCCAGTTGCGCTGTGGCAACGGGCAGAGCCTGAGAACAACACCCGTGCGATGCCCTCGCCTCTGTCCATCCTGGGGGTCCTGCTGCCCTTCCGGCCTCAGCTCTGAACTCCGGCGCCTGACACAGCCCACCGGGGGCGTTTCCCCCAGGGGCAGTGGGCTTTGCGTGTCGTCGGCTCACCAGATGGTCCGTTGTTGTTGATGTTTGCAAGTGAGGGACTCCGAGACACACTTGTCCAAGATCCCAAGGCCCCCAGAAGGGGACAGGGGGTGACCCTCAATGTCCCAGGCTCCCCCCTTCCCTGCCGCTTCCTGTCTGCAGGCAGCTCTGCTGTTCCTGCCGGCTCCCGCCCCGGGGCAGGCGGGTTAGGGAGGTGCAGGGGGGCCCGGGGCCCAGAGCAGGAGGACAGGATTGGGTTGGGGTGGCAGCCAGCCCCCCCACCCTCGCCAGGGTGCCCTGAAGCAGAGCAGTGTCCTTGGGGTTCCCTGGAGAGGCTGGCCCTGCCCTGCTGAGTTTAGGGGGTTTGGCCCCCGAGGCCGATCCCTGGGGATGTGGAAGCATAAACAGTTGTCCTGGGTTAATTAGGTCTCGTTTCTGTCTCAGATGCACTTGGAAGCCATGGCTTGTGGACACAGGCCTGTCCCTGAGTGTCAGGCTGTGAGGGGCCAGGCTGGGTCTGTGTGATAGAGCCAGGGTGTGCTTCGGGCAGAAGGGGCCAGGGTGTGTTTACAAAGCTGGGAGGAGACGGGCCCGTCCCTGGGTTCAGGGCAAGAGGCCCGCTGCTCGAGCTGTGCGGGACAGGCCCTGAGGACCTGGCTGTGGGGAGACACGCCCTAAGCTGCCCTGAAGGAGCCCCGAGAAGCACGATATGCCGGCTTCATGCAGCCGGCACTTCTGGCGCCTCCAGCTCTGAAAGACACCTTCTCTCTTCCTGAGAGGGGTTCCTGGGCCATTGCCCAGAAGTCTTGAAAACCAAGGTGATTTTCCCTCTGGGGGAAGCTGGGGAAATCCCAGTCCAGGCCCCCATCTTCCCTGGTCGGCCACCCAGCCATGCTGCTGCCCACCCCCTGCATCCCTGAGCAGAGTGTCCCCAGTCCCTGAGGCAGCCAGCGCCGCTCGGTCACCGCTGTCCAGGGCCTGTCCCTCTGCTGGACAGAGTAGGTGGGTCAAGAAGCTGGAGTCCGTGCCTGTGTGTGCATGTGTGCTGCAGGGAGACCGTGTTTGAGTACATTGGGTGTGGGGTGTGTTTACTGGGGCCTCAGTTTTCTCGTCTGTGAAATGGGGAGATCACTAAGTAGCGCCTCGCTCACAGGTTAGTGTGAAGACGGACTGCCCTGCCAGGGCTGTGGGAGTGTCACCACACATGCCCTGGTCAGAGCAGCCAGCGGGTGCTCACCGGCCCTCACGGTGCCCCCCCTGGGGTGTCTAAGATCGGGATCGGGGAGAGCAGTCTGTCCTCGGAGGGCACTGCCTGGCTGGGAGTGCCCCTGTCTACG